AACGCCAATATCTCGGCGTATACTTGGGCGATTAACGTGTTTGACGGCTTGTTGGAAAGCCAAGACTGTGCTCTATCGTTTAGTGCAACTTAGAGTTCCTGCCAATTAGAGGAGACGCCTCTACAACACCCTCCTTCCCTTATCATCCCATTCCCCTTCCGTTCTTCCCCTCCCTTTCCCCCCCACCCCGCCTTCCCCCACCCCTCTCCCCCATCCGCTCTCAGCTTGTGCGCCCAGGGCTGCCGCCGTTCGCCTGCCACCTGCAAGCAACGCCGCCGACCGTAAGTCACCCGCCTGACATTCCACACCCTGAAAGGCACTCCCACCCGTCTCCATGCACTTGGCCATACTCCAGTCTTGTCTTGAAACATCTTAGCTTGTCACGCGGATCACTCCCACTCTCTTACCTCTCAAACGTGTGCATGCTCGTCCCACCCTCCTCGCTTTTTGCCTCCTCGTTTTCCTCTCCTCATCCCGTCCCTTCCTCTCTGTTTCTTTCTTCCTGGATCCTGTCTCGCCAGACTCGTGTGTGCAGAGGAAATGCGGTGCCAATGGGGTTTGCGTGAAGGTCAACGGCGATGCCACCTGCGTGTGCAACACTGGTTTCGTGCTGCAGGCAGACAAGGTTACATGCACTGGTGCGTGCGAATGTGCCGTTGTGTCATTCCAAGGCGGCAGCCATGTCGTCCGCCTGCTCTATTCCGTCACTGTTACAACTTTCGAAAGATCATGCTCCACTCACTTGTATGCCTTCCCTTCCCTTGGCAGACACTTGCGTGCTCAAGAGGTGTGGAAGCAACTCCAAGTGCGTGAAGAACGCTGCAGGAGTGGCGTCCTGTGTGTGTTACACTGGCTTTGTGCTGCAGGCTGATGGCGTCACATGCACCGGCATGTGCCGTGCGCCATGTCCTCGTTTTGACCCTTGTGGGTTTGTCACGAGGGTATAATTTCCTCACTCGCCCAACTCGCCTCCCTCCCCCTTTTATCCCAGACACATGCGTGCTCAAGGCATGTGGCAGCAACGGCAAGTGCACCAAGGACAGTGCTGGAGTGGCGTCCTGCGTGTGTGACACTGGCTTCGCACTGCAGGCGGATGGCAAGACCTGCACTGGTACGTGCTGCTGTGCTGAGGAGCTTCTATGTGCTGCTGTGCTGAATCCATTCTGAGATCTTGATTCTCGTTCAATCCGGTCCGTCCCTTGTGTCAGATGTCTGTGTGATCAAGAACTGCGAGGGCTCTGATCCCAATTCCTACTGTGAGAAGGAAGGGAACCTTGCGACCTGCGTGTGCAAGACTGGTTACACTCCGGCATCGGGCACATGCACTGGTGCGTCTTCCGGTTGCGTTGTGCCCTTGTAGCGCGCCCTTCATTGTGTGACTGTTTTTGCGCGTTTTTGTGCGCCCGTGCGCGTTTCTTGGTGACGTCTTTCCACATTTACTCTCCTCTCTCCTCCATCCCTCCCTCGTCCCAGATAACTGCGTGATTCAGAGCTGTGATGTCGTGAACGGCCAGTGCAACAAGGACGACGTTACTGGAGCGGCCTCCTGTGTGAGTAACCCGGATTTCGTGCTGCAGCCGGATGGCAAGACGTGCAACCCACCTTTGAAGATCGTCCGGGATCCTGCACCCCTTGATCCTGCACCTGGTGGGTGATGCTGCCTTGAAAGTGATGCTGTGCTGCTGTGTTGCCTCGGATGCCCCAACATCTCCTTCAAGTACCCCTTCAAGTACCCCTTCGATCGTGAACCCCACCCCACCACCCCTGGTCGCAACTTTTGAGACGTCTCCAAAGTCGATGCCATTGGTTTCGCTACTATCATCATGCATTCCCAACCACTCGTGTCAAGTACCCTTTCAATCGTGAACCCCACCGCCCCTCCTTTCACGTCCCTTCCACCCCTCCTGTCTGGATCACATTTTTTGTGTCAGTGTCATTGTCTTACTCATCTGTTACACGATATGTGTCTCTCTACACCCCCCCCCCTTGGTCTGCTTTCTTTCACCCCTGGTCTGCTTTCTTTCACCCCTGGTCTGCTTTCTTTCACCCCTGGTCTGCTTTCTTTCACCCCTGGTCTGCTTTCTTTCACCCCAACAGGAACCCCAACAACAACCCCAACAACCTCATTTGCGTGCACTCCGGAGTGTAATCTGGGAATGTCATACTGCGACCTCGCGCCGTGGGGTCCAGCGTGTGTTTGCATGCCCGGCCTCCCTGGCTTTATTGCCGAGCAGATCGGGTGCATTGGTAAGTTCCTTCCACGCGTTGAGATTTTCTTGTAGTGGAATCAATGTCTCTCTGACTGACCCATCGTTATGCCTGCCATCCCTTGCTCGTTGAGGGATCAGTGCTCTCTCTCAACCATCGTTCTCTCCCTCTCTTCCTCTTGCCCTCTCTCCCTCGTTCCCTCTCCCTCTTGCCTTCCAACAGTGAAAGCTTCGCCGCTGAGGGATCCTGCACCAACGGACCCAAGGGTCCCTGCACCTGGTGGGTGATGCTAGCGTCAAGTGCTGTTGGGATCCGTGAAGTGCGAAATGGTTTCACTACTATCATGTGTTCCCAGCATCTCAAATCACCTCCGCTACCGCTAAAGTATCCTGAACCCCACTACCGCTCATTTCACGTCCCTTCCACTTTATCCCTCCCCTTCTGCGCCGTTTCTAGCTCCTGCGTGATACTAAAAGTGTTTTGGGACGCCTCAAAAACTCTCTAGCTCCTGCTGTTGCAGATTTCTCTCACGCCTCCGTGTGCATCCCCTTATTTAATCTCTCTCGTTCAGTCCCCCCCTTCCCCTCTTGCCTGAATCTCAGTTTTTTTTTTTTTTTTTTTTTTTTTATCCTATCTCCGTTCGGTGTGTTTCAGTGCCATTACCCCACTCAGCTGTTACACGATATGTTTCTTCCTACATCCACTCACCCCTGGTCCCACCCACTATTTGTGTCTCGGTGTGCCATGCTCTTTCACCCCGACCTTCCCAGATCCATGCCAGGGGCACTGTGTGCTGGGGAAGTCTCACTGCGTCACCACACCAGAGGGTCCGTATTGTGTTTGCGACCCCGGAAACACCATCGACTGTCTTCCTGGTAAGCTCCACACGGTTTAGGTTGCCTGTTGAGGAATCAGCGCAAGTTGAACCATCGTACTGCCATCTCTCACTCTCACTCTAACTCTCTCTCTCTCTCTCTCTCTCTCTCTCTCTCTCTCCCCCCCCCCCCCCCCCCCCCCCCCCCCCCCCCCCCCCCCCCCCCCCCCCCCCCCCCCCCCCCCCCCCCCCCCCCCCCCCCCCCCCCCCCCCCCCCCCCCCCCCCCCCCCCCCCCTCTCTCTCTCCCCGTCCCTAAACCCTAAACAGAGGGGCTCTTGTAATTGCCGTGAGGCACATCCACTCCCGTGATGACACTTCACCCATGCCAGCACATCCTTATTGATCTCATGACGCCACACCCTATCGCTCATGTGACAGTCCCCCATCATCAGCCAGTCCCATCATCAGCCAGTCTCATCATCAGCCAGTCCCATCATCAGCCAGTCTCATCATCAGCCAGTCCCATCTTCCGTACAGCCACTCCCATCATCCCATCACCTACGGTACTCTTGCAGCAGTTTTTTCTTGCAAAATAGGGCAAAGCATGCCAAGAGGCTCAAGGCGTGAATTGTGTGCATTGGGACCGCCCCTGCTTGAGTGCCTATGGAAAGGAGGGGAGCATGGAGAAGTTACAAGGGGGCAAATAGGTTTCCATGAGCCAGGGTACAAGGCATTAGCTGCACGGGGCTTCTTTTCTTGTTTTCTGGTTGCTTTTGGCCGATTGTGGTTTGTGCTGGTTAGTAAATTGCGTGTGCATGACTAGCTAGAACTGCATTGTGCTCTTATCTATAGTATTTGTTTCCTTTGTGGTACGTGTTCTAAAGATTAGGGCGTATCCAACTCCGGGTCATCGGCACTGTTTGGGTCATCCGAGATTCTTGGAAGACCAATCAGGCGCATTTTAGTTACACTACTCAAATACCATTGGTCCTCGCATGACCCAAAGTGTACTGATGACCCAAACAGTGCCTTATGACCCGAAGCTGGATACGCCCTTAGTGATCCTGCTTCACAAACAAAAAGTACCAGCAGCATTGCAATTGCTAGTTTAAAACAAATGCAATCATCTCGGTCCCACCCAACATAGACAAGATTGGTGAAATGGGACGGGACCTTTTTCTAAACCTGTTTTATTTGTGGGTTAGACAACATCCATGGGACGAGACGGTTGCGAGGAGGATACAAGAAGCAGCTCTGTAAGTAAAAATTTGAGAAATTAAAAAGCTCACCTGTTACCGATTTATTTGTTCTTCAAACCACTCGATCAAATGACCTTTTACACCTCACATACCGATCCCAGCCGTGGAGCCGTCCATGACACAACAGCATCCCACAAGGCACAGGATTAGCACTGCCGAGCGAAAACGTGCTCTCCTCTGGTCCGGCAGATGCCTTCACGTCTTTCAGCTGAACCTAGTAAACGCCTGTTCGCCAATCGTCGTCAGCCGCCATGGTTCGCCCGCACAGGTCGCTCATTAGTCGCTGGCTGACGCGCTTCTATCTGATTGGTTCGCAAAGAGCAGCTTCTGTCGTCGCAGCCGTCGCAATCGTCGCGTCAATCTCCGTTGTCGCATTTCTCCTATCGCCAAGATTCGCGCTGCCATTCTGGCCGTCGTTCCTCCCCAGCGGCCCTGCGTCACCCCCCTCCGCTTTCCCGCAGAGTGGTTGCGAAGTTGCGAGGAACTGTCGCGAGAAGCGACTGGATCGATACATTTACACCGATCAGGATCCGTCAGAATTCTGGTGAGCTTATAACGGGGATAGTGTGCTGAGTAGAGGTTAACTTGAAATCCCGAAACGGTTCTGGAGGTGGACTATCTCTTGCTTCCTTGCTAAGGTGATTACGCAATTCTCTTTGAATGCATTTCCTTTGCTGCATTTTGCGTTGGCGTCAATGAGGAAATGTTACTAACGCGGATGAATCCGGACGTTAATTTGAGCAGGTGGGAGGACTCGGCCAACCGCATGCGAGACAAGGCCCCCAAGGGGTGGTGGACGGGTTACATTCTGCGGGTTACCACCCACCGCTGGTTCAACAGGACCGTTACGAACCGCATCCAATGGTGGCATTGGATGACCGTGATTGTAAGACGCAGTGCTGCGATGGTAACATGGTAACTGATTGAGATCGTGCAAGGCGGGTGCACTATTGGATGAGCTGGGAAAAGAAGTGTTTGAACTCGTCAGGCGTGGATTCTAACTACGGTGTGATCTCCTTGGTTGGCCAAATCACTTACCACCTTGTGTTAATTGTCTTATCCATCCATTGTACACTTTCCTGTTGTCTTCCCCTTGTTGCTACAACACCACCCTTCTCACAAACGCCTGACGACATGCACAGCGTGCACAAAGGGCTGGGCCGTTTGTTATCAGGTCGGGGTGGACTCAACTTAACACTCCTCCACTCCACTCACTCTTGCACCTTCCTCTCAACTCAATGCCCTCCCCCACTCCCCACAGGCGCCGGACGACATGCACAACGCGCACAAGGGGCTGGTGCTGTTTGTGATCGGGTCGGGGTGGTCGCAGTTCCACTACCACCACGTGCCAGACAAGGACGAGATGTTTACTGCTGCCTTCGCCCCGTACGTGCCATTGTAACGAACGAGGTGACTGTTGGGTCGACCCAAAGGTGCTGCCTTCGCCCCGTACGTGCGATGGGCTGGGAAATGGTGCACATATATTCTCATGAGGAAGTGGGCAATGGTGGTAGTTGGTCAGGCAAGCATGGCGTGCCTTGATACCACGCTGATTGTGTGTTCTGTTTCAACGCTCTCTCAATCACATGATCTCATCTCACTTGTTAGTCCATCCAATTTCCATCTCCCAGCTGGGTAATGAAGATAGTAAAAGGGGGGGGCACCTCCCAGCTCAGCTGGGCAGTAAAGCTGGTAATTCCGAATCGTTTCGAAGCCCGTCGAAAGAATCGTCATCGCCTCACCCACCACCTATCCCTGTTTCCGCTGCTTTGTGCATGGTCCATGCCATGCCACGTGGCAGTTTGGTAGTGGAGCTGGGGATCCTGGGAGCAGTACTGCATCAGCAGCCAATGGAGCCAATTTCATTCTATGTGGGGCCTCATGGGCCGGGCAGTTTTAAGGACCTGGAAGAAGACGAGTTGATGGCGTGTGAGTGAGTAACGAGGGGATGGCGTGAGTGAGTGAGATGGGATGATGGTGTGAGTGAGTGAGATGATTGCAGGTGAATGAGTTCATGGCGAGATGTGTATGTGTTCAACTTCAAGTGAGTGCGCGAAAGTGTATGTATGTTAACCCTTGTGTTAACCGCCGCACACATACGCATCAGCCACCGTGTAAGTGCACATGCACATTTGCATCAGTATCTTCTGAAGTGTAGTCATCTGTGAATGTGTAAAATTATAAATAAATGTAAATGTATTTCTAAATCCATCCATCCATCCATCCATCCATCCATCCATCCATCCATCCATCCATCCATCCATCCATCCATCCATCCATCCATCCATCCATCCATCCATCCATCCATCCATCCATCCATCCATCCATCCATGCACCCCTGCCCCTCTTCTCTACAGTCTCCTTTGCAATGGCGCTGACAGCCCATGCCCATCCCATGCCCATCCCATGCCCATCCCATGCCCATCCCATGCCCATCCCATGCCCATCCCATGCCCATCCCATGCCCATCCCATGCCCATCCCATGCCCATCCCATGCCCATCCCATGCCCATCCCATGCCCATCCCATGCCCACCCCATGCCCATCCCATGCCCATCCCATGCCCATCCTATGCCCATCCCCTGCATCTATCCCAGTCTCCTTTGCCATGGCGTTGGAGCATCCGGATGAGCTAGAGTGGCAGCTCTCAGTGCCCATGGCCAAGTCCATCGTGAGGGGAATGGATGCGCTGCAGCTCGCCTCCAGAGACATCTTCCCCCACCTCCCGGTCAGTGCTGCCGCTCTGGTAGCTGCCTCTGTAGCTGTCGCTGCAACGTTCTCACCTGTCCCCGCCTGCGAGTCAATGTCTTTCTGATCGCTGCCGGTCTTCTCGGCGCTGCCCGAAGCTGCCGACTAGTGCCGAACCTGTTGCTGCCTTCTCGTGTTGGTCACTGCCATGTGCGCCAGTCAACAGTGCCACGTGTGCCAATCAGTCGTTCCACGTGTGCCAGTCAGCAGCAGTGCCACGTGTGTGAGTCAGCAGTGCCACGTGTGTGAGTCAGCAGGGCCACGTGTGTGAGTCAGCAGGGCCACGTGTTGTGCAGTGCCAGATACCGTGCTGGTCAATGCCACAGCCACGTGTGGTGGTTGAGCACCACGAGCTGTCCAGGTCGTGGGTCGTGGGTTGTTGGGTCCACGTGTTTTGTCCTGATTATGTTGCATGTTGGCATGTTCTGGTTACTTGGATTGTCTTTGCTTTTCACTACACCTCACAACCGTGAATCCTGGCTTGGGTTCTGGTGGCATGCATCGAACATGGCATTTGGTGTGTAACAATGACATGCGGTGTGTCGCATGGGATGTGTGACATGGGATGTATGGCATGGCATGGGACAGGTGGAAGGCTTTGTGCTCATGGGAGTGAGCAAGAGAGCACTGATGGCATGGGTGACAGCAGCTTTGGATAAGGTGAGACGGATGGGTGTGCCTGTCGTATCCACATGCATGGTGTTAGATGGGGTATACATTTCCCTGCATTCGATCTTATGTCGTAGAGATGTCATGTGTATGGTATTGTATGTATGTCACGCCATAGGGTGCTGCAGTCTATAATGGGTTTACGGATTTGCACCCTCTGCATGTTCTGATCCAGTATTCATCTCTGTATGAGATGCAGTGCACTTCAATTTTTTTCTTCTATCCACGATATGCATAGCAAACGTAGTACTGCTGGCACTCCCTTGAATCAAGCAGGCAGGAGCACTGTTTAGCGTGGAATTTTCAGCAACGGTGTGCAGCAGCGGAATGCAGCAGCGGAGTTTAGCAGCGGAGTTCAGCAGCGGAGTTTAGCAGCGGAGTTTAGCAGCGGAGTTTAGCAGCGGAGTTTAGCGGCTGCGGAGTGCAGCAAGGGATCGTCAAGAGGGATGCACATGATGGTCTGCAGCTTCCCATCCCTGCTGGTTTCCCAAACACCAGCATCCGTCCATGCATGCATGCACGTTTCTCAGTGTGTACTTCTTTATTATAATTATTTTCTATGATCATCATTCTTTTTTATATCATTGTTATTCTGCTTTTCTTCCCATGGCAGAGGGTGGTGGGCATGGTGGCGTACGGCTTTGACCTGCTGGACTTTGGGCGCAACGTGCAGCATCTGCACGACTCATTAGGCGCGTGGCCGGTCATCCTCAAGTTCTACGCCACCTTTAACGTCACCTCCCAGCTGCAGTCGCCCCAGTTTCAAAGACTCACTGTAAGCACAGAGTGACGGAGTGAGTGTGAGTGGGTGAGTGAGTGAGTAGCTGTGTGGCCGGTTATTCTCAAGTTCTACACCATCTCCAACGCTACCTCCCAGCTACAGTCGCTTCATTTACAAAGGCTCGCTGTAAGCACTTGGTGTCAGATTACCATCCTCATTGTAACCTACATCAATCCTATAAGCTTAGGTTAGAGATAGCACCCAAACTTAGTTTGGGTGTAGAACTAGGGCTAACCCTAGTTGGGGGGTTGGAACTCAAACCTTGGCCTCCAAGGTTGGGTTGGGAATTATTGGTCCCCCCAATAATGTTGAACCACTTGGTCAACATTATTGGTCCCCCCAATAATCCCTCAACCCAAAATATTGGTGGGGGCCAATAATAATGGCTTGGTTCCAACCAAACCCCCCCCCCTAGCACTACTATGAATACCCCCATCTCTCCTAATGAAATCAATGGTTCTTCCTCACGTTTTCTCACACTTGGAGAGCTAGTGCGGGATGGGGAATGGTGGGACGAAGGAGCAGTTGGTCCAACATCATCAGATTCTCTCTCTCTACACCATCGCCCCGCTTCAACGCTACCTCCCAGCTGCACTCGCCCCAGTTCTCAAGGCTCGCTGTAAGCACAGGGTGACGGAGCGTGTGAGGGAGAATGGTTGGACTTGGACGTGTGCTGGCTAGCTAGCCCAGCTTTTTCTTTCCTCTCGCTCATGTCCACCTGGCTCTTGCTTCTTTTTGCTGCCTGGCTTGTGCTGCCACCGCCACCTGACACACCTTCGTTTCCTGCTCCACTCCACTCGTGCTCTCTCTCTCACTGCATGAGGACACAAACATGCATGCGTACTTCACGGAGCACCTACCCTCATCACCCAACCTGCTGCTTCTGACTACCATCACCACATCATCCCTTGTCCATCATATCACCACCCCTTGGTCCGTGGCCCTCACACCACCCCTTGGCCCTCACACCACCCCTTGGCCCTCACACCACCCCTTGGCCCTCACACCACCCCTTACCCCTCACACCACCCCGTGATCCTGACTGCAGGAGGACACGGACCCATACTACTTCAAGGAGCGCCTCACCATGCCCAAGCTGCTCGTCAGTGCTGCGAACGATGAAGTGCTGGCACTGGATGACACGTGAGTCTTGGGGATGACACGTGAGTCTTGGGGATGACACGTGAGTCTTGGGGATGACACGTGAGTCTTGGGGATGACACGTGAGTCTTGGTGATGACGCGTGACGTGAGTATAGACATGGATGGTCCCGAGTCGAGTCAAGTCAGCAGCTGTGTCGAGTCGAGTCGAGGTCAGTTGGATTCAAATCGTCTTTTTCACCAGCTGTGCCGACTCGTGACTCGGCGTTGGGCAGTCAGCTTGAATCGAGTCCCCTGCCCCCCTTTTTTCAACCCCTCTACTCCCCGCCCGCCTTTCAACCCTCTCTCCCCCCCCGGCAGGTACATCTGGTGGAACGACATGCCGAGCCAAAGCTGCTCAAGATAATGGCCAACTCGGAGCACGTCAACCAATGGGTGAGCACATGCAGATCCACGTCAACCAATGGGTGAGCACATGCAGATCCACGTCAACCAATGGGTGAGCACATGCAGATCCACGTCAACCAATGGGTGAGCACATGCAGATCCACGTCAACCAATGGGTGAGATCCACGTCAACCAATGGAGCACATGCAGGTCCACATCAACCAATGGGCGAGCACATGCAGATTCACATCAACCAATGGGCGAGCACATGCAGATCCACGTCAACCAATGGGCGAGCACATGCAGATCCACGTCAACCAATGGGTGTGTTCGTAGTGCATGCAGGGTGCTGAGAATGTTATAGAATGAAAGCCACATGCGGGTCCGCCTGAACCAATGCTTTGAAGGTGCATTGCACTGTCTTTCTTAGGTACCTCAAAAGTCACGGTTTCGTAGTGTTTTTGCTTTTCTGGATTATTCCCTTCACCCTTGCAACCTCCCCTTTCGATTCTTTTCCCCCCTGCGAAAGCCCCTGTCTCCTTCCTTTGGTTGACCCACGTCCTTCCTTTCCCTCCTCCTTTCCAACTCCTCCTTTCCACCTCCTCCCGGGCCCTTTTGTAATGTGCGAAAGATTGATTCTCAGATTTCCCCCCATGACCTCTTTCTGAAATTCCCCTACCCCCCCTCTTCAACCCCCTCTATTAACCCCCCTCTCATCAACCCACCCACTCCCGCCTACAGGCCAACCAAGCAACGCTCTCCTTCCTCGCCTCTCTCCTGCACGTCAACTCCTCCTGCGCCTCTCTCCCCGCCTCCTCCCGCCCCTCCCTCACCTGGACTCGCCCCTCCAACGCCCCCCCTTCTCCCCGCCGCCGCAAGCGCTTTGACAAAACGGAGGGCACGGGGCTGTTTGCGCGGGAGGAAAGGGAAACGGCAGAAAGGGAGACGGTAGAGGCTCAGACAGGAGGAACGCAAGGAGGGGGGGTGGTGGGAACAGAAGGAGATGCGCTGACCAATCAGGAGCAGCCACCGCATCCCTGGAGCTGCGTGCCTGAGCTGCCAGCTGTCGACTGGCCACGGCTGAGGTGGCGGTTTGATTGGTCCACGTTCACCATTCATGCCACGTCAGACAGGAAGCCACTGGCGGTTAGAGCATGGTGAGAGGAAAGAGGGGGAGGGGGAAGGAGGGGAAGGAGAGGGAGGGGGGGAAGGGGCAGGGGCAGGGGCAGGCAGGGGGAGGGAGAGGAGGAAGTGGGAAGGGTGTGTGTTTGGTTCCTGCCTTTCAAGATCTTGTTCACCTTCCTGTATGTTTCATCGAATTGCAGCTTTCTCTATTGTTTTTCATTGCTGTTAAATTGTTCATATATTTGTCCTTTCATCACGGCAAGAACTCCTCTTTGCCCCAGAAATCTCAATCACGGACATTATTCCTCCAACCCCGTTTCCCGCAACCTCTAATCCCCACATTCCCCCCTTCCCCACTTACCCCATTCTCCGTTTCCCCTTTGCCCCTTTTCCCCGCCCCCTTCCCCCTTCTCCCCTTCCCCCTTTCCTCCTTCCCCCACCATGCTCCCCGTGCCCCACAGGACTGCCCGCACAGCCAGCGCACGGCGAGACTTTCGCTTCGTGGTACAGCGAGGCTCCAAGGGGTGGTGAGTGGCTCCAAGGGGTGGTGAGTGGCTCCAAGGGCTGGTGAGTGGTGCAAAGCAGTACTGAACGTTATGGCGTATGCCCTATTTGTGCAGCCCAGCTCCTCTTTCCTCTGCACAAGCTGACCTTTCTCCCTTTCTTCCGCCCGCTCAACACCCCGATTTCCCTCCCCTCCCCTCACCACGGTGCTGATGCCAACAGTTCCAGGGACGTATGCAGGCAAGTTCGACCTGTGAGTGCAGGTCACGCCATTCTTCCTCTGTTGCACCTGCTCGCCTCGCTCCCTTCATCCTCCCCCCCCCACCCTCCCAACACAACACTCCCCCTCCCCTCAGCACGGCTCCAGTGCCAACGGTGCCGGGCACGTACGCAGGCAAGTTCGACCTGTGTGTGCAGGCCACGCCATTCTTCCTGCACACCGTCTCGCCGCCCAAGCACCACCCCGAGGATGGCTTGTGGCACTTCAGCTCCACCGTCTCCGACGTTCCCAAGGTGACTATAACGAGGGTGAATTTGCTTCCGAAGAAAAAGGGCTTTGCAAGGTGACTGCAGTGGTCTAAAGGTGACTGTAGTGAGGGGTCACAAGGTGACTGACTGAGCGACTTCCCCAAGGTGACTGTGTGACAGTTTTTTTAGGTGTGGATGCTGTGTTATTTACCCAGCATGTTTGATCTTGTGGTTTTTCCTTGTGAAGGAGACTTTTGAGAGAGTGAAGGAAAGAACCACTGTGCCACTCACACATATGGATTGATACACTGCGCGTGTCATTTGCAGGTGGGGTTTCGAGCATTGTGGATTGAAGCTGATTTTGAGATTCCACAAAGAAAGGCTCCTTTTGTGTTGACAACGGAAGCTGTCCTAGCCCCAAATAAGCTGCCGTTCTCACCCTGTCAGCCAGGCAACCACTCTTGCCAACAACGTTGGATATGATGAGATATGCCACACTTGGGCTTGCTATTCATACTCGGGATATTGAAGTAAATGTTTGGTACCTGTACAGAATGTGGTATTCTTTTATCCTACATTTTGGACTCTTCACGAAGTTCACACGCACTTAAGTGCCGGCTGAGTCTGCTGAAGTTTCTATACCAATTCCATGACGTATTACATTATCTCTGCTGGTTTTTCCCTGTGCATTGCTCACACCTTGCACCGCAGGGGTATTTGAGAGAATCAACTTTCTGATTCACAGCTGAGATGGCTGGTGTTTAGTGTAGTGTAGTACAGTTGTTCCTCGTCGGGCATTTGCGTCTTGTATCCCGCAAGCGAAGCAGCCTGTCAAAAGGGTCGGTTTCATTTGCACCCATTTTGAATGAGTGTGGGATGGGATGGGAAACGTCTGTCGCATGATCGTCGTGAGCCGCCATGGTTCGCTCGCACAGGTCGTTCATTTGTCGCTGGCTCACGCGCTTCCACTTGATTGGGTCGCAAGGAGCCGCTTCTGTCGTCGCAGCCGTCGCAATTGTCGCATCAATCTCCACTGTCGCATTTCTCCTATCGCCAGGATTCGCGCTGCCATTCTGGCCGTCGCTCCTCCCCAGCGGCCCTGCGTCACCTCCCTCCGCTTTCCTGCAGAGCGGTTGCGAAGTTGCGAGGAACTGTCGCGAGAAGCGACTGGATCGATACATTTACGTCGATCAGGATCCGTCAGAATTCTGGTGAGCTTATAACGGGGATAGTGTGCTGATAGAGGTGAACTCCAAGGTGTACTATCGCTTGCTTCACTAGCCAAGGTGGTTAAGCAAACCTCCTCTAACGCCATTCTCTTAACGCATTTCACACGCGTTGACTTGTAATGGCGTCAATGAGGAAATGTTACTAACGCGGATGAATCCGGACGTTGGTTGGAGCAGGTGGGAGGACTCGGCCAACCGCATGCGAGACAAGGCCCCCAAGGGGTGGTGGACGGGTTACATTCTGCGGGTTACCACCCATCTCTGGTTCAACAAGACCGTTTCGACCCGTTTCCGGTGGTGGCATTGGATGACCGTGATTGTAAGACGTAGTGCTGCGATGGTAACATGGTAACCGGTTGAGAACGTGGCAGGTGATTGTACTAGAAGCTGTCCTGTGACTTGTCGTTCTCCCTTCTGACTGCGCGCCGGCCCTTTCTCACAGCCGCCTGACAACACGCACAACGTGAACAAAGGCCTGGAGCTGGTTGTCTTTGGGTCGGACTGGACTCACTCAACTCACCACTCCCTTTCACACAGGCTCCTGACCTGACGACATGCACAACGCTTTTAAAAGCCTGGTGCTGTTCATCATCGGGTCGGGGTGGACTCAACCCAGCTAGGCATGAGCTAACAGCCCGGTCGGCTCGGGCCGGCCTGACCTGACCCAGGATTTTGCCCGGGTCGGGTACGGTATTTCAATGTCCTGGCCTGGCCGGGTCGGGTCGACCCGATGTTCAATTTCGGGTCGGGTTGGGTCGGGTTTCGGGCCGACTGTGACCCGACCCGGAAATCGTGTCAAAAACAGGGTAACCAGGTCGGGCTTTGACCCGACCCGATTTCGGCACTAGAGAAAGCCCGAAAGTTGATCCCGAAGGGACGTTTTTCCCCTCGACAGCAGTCCCGCCCGCGCAACCTCACTAACTTCACTTCGACATCCTGCGGTTGGACTGCGCTCAATGTCGTGAGCTGTGAAAGTGTATTGGGTTGGGTGGTTGGGTTGTGTAGATCAAGTGCGGTGACGAGCGGTAAGTGGCGGCGAATTGATTGGGATATTTTATTCCAACAAATTTGACGGTGAGGAGGGGGTTCCTGGCTTCCTCACAGCGAAATTAGGTCAACCAGCGAAATCGCCAATCTGCGCAGATCGGCGGACGAAATCGCCGGGGGGCGGGCGGAAGCGGGTTCCCCTGACCCGACCCGACCTCGGGTCACCTGACCCTGTCCCCCAGCTTGGCCTGGTTCTGGCCCGACCCGACCCGACCCGGCCCTGGAACCTGGCTGGCCCGGCCAAGTCGGGTCGGGTCGGGTCGGGTCGGGTCGGGTCGGGTCGGGTCGGGTCGGGTCGGGTCGGGTCGGGTCGGGTCGGGTCGGGTCGGGTCGGGTCGGGTCGGGTCAAGTGGGGCCGCCTGCTCATGCCGAAACCCAACTCTCCCTTTTGCACCCCCCTCACTGCTCGCAATGCACCCCTCCATGCAGGCGCCTGACGACATGCACAACGCGCACAAGGGGCTGGTGCTGTTCGTGATCGGGTCGGGGTGGTCGCCCCTGTACTACCACCACATGGTGGACAAGGACGAGATGTTCACCGCTGCCTTCGCCCCGTACGTGCTCTTGCTGCTGCTGCTGCTGCTGCTGCTGCTGCTGGGGCATGACCGCTCGTCTCCGTGGCAAGTGCAAGCATGCATTTGGCGGATGGGCTTGGTGTGACGTGAGTTGAGTTCGCGACCCATATGGTCCCCCCTTTCCACCTATTGGATTGAAACCATGGCATCATGATGGCACGATGGCATGATGGCATGATGGTACCAACCTGTTGCTCTACCACTGTGCATGGGGAGTGGTGTTAGGAGCAGAGCGGAGTGGCGACGCGTTGAGAGCACTTTTGAGAATTCTCAACATTGCATGGGGATGGGATTGGTGTTGGAAAAGGGCTGGCGTGATCAGGTGGGGCGGAGCGGAGACGCGGCGTGGAAAATGGCACGCGGATTATCATGGGGAAGTAGGCAGGCAGCTGGTCAGGCGAACATTTCGTCTCATGTGATGTGATGTAATGTAGGGATGAGCAAAATGGCGAACACGGGTTCGGGTTCGGCCCGAACATGTTCGGGCGTTCGCGGCGCGCACATGTGAAATGCCCGAACATCGAACATGTTCGGGCATGTATGTCTGATGTTCGATAAAAATCCAGCGCGACATTGGTCGCGCTGGTTGGGTACAAAAGGGACGGGGAAAGTAGATCGAGCTGTTTCACAGCTCGATTTACCTTTCTAGGGTTAAGGCTAGCCAATCCGCCACCCATAGTACCTCCCTAAACTAAATCGCCACCATCAACTGTTAGTTAGGCAAACATGCGGTGTTAAAGCCGTTTTTTAGGGTTGTACCAGCATGTTTCGCCTTAAGCTGTTACCTTGGTGGAAACTTCCAGTTCCAGCATTGGTTTAGTTTAGTGGACCCCTTTTCAGAATTCACACCGTTAAATCTAGTTATTTATGGCAACTCCAACGGTAAAGGAATGAGCATCCAATGTCCCAAGCTCATATCCACTGAAACATAAGCAGATTTCCCCCTCCTGCAGTGGTCGAACTTCGAACATATCATTTCTGTAAAAAGTGTTCGGGCGAACCGAACATGTTCGGTTCGCCCACTGAATGTGTTCGTGACTGTTCGGGCGAACATGTTCGATGTTCGCCCGGTGCTCATCCCTACAATGTGATGTGATGTGATGATGTGATGTGATGTGATGTGATGTGATGTGATGCCGATGTTGTTACATTGACTGTGTTTTACTCTTTAAACCCTCTCGATCGATCTCATGATCTCATCTGTGAGTCAGCACCACCTGGCTGGCAGCGTGGAATCGAACCTGGTGAATCCCGAACACTTTTGAAGCCCGTTGGAAGAAACATCACTCAGAAGTCACCTTGTTACAATGGCACACAACACTATCTGAATCGACTCAGAGTCACCTCATGGGAGTGAGCAAGAGAGCACTGATGGCATGGTAGACGGCGGCAGCAATGGATAAGGTGAGAAGGAAGGGTGTGCCTGTCGAATCCACCCGCACCTTCATGGCATTCGGCACCTACCATTGCACGGCACCTACCATTGCATGGCACCTACCATTGCACGGCACCTACCATTGCATGGCACCTACCATTGCACGGCACCTACCATTGCATGGCACCTACCATTGCATGGCACCTACCATTGCATGGCACCTACCATTGCATGGCACCTACCATTGCACGGCACCTACCATTGCACGGCACCTACCATTGCACGGCACCGACCATTGCATGGCACCTACCATTGCATGGCACCTACCATTGCATGGCACCTACCATTGCACGGCACCTACCATTGCACGGCACCTACCATTGCATGGCACCTACCATTGCATGGCACCTACCATTGCATGGCACCTACCATTGCATGGCACCTACCATTGCATGGCACCTACCATTGCATGGCACCTACCATTAAGGGTGTAAACAAATACCACTGGGTTCGTATTAGTATTCGATATTCGACGAATATCAAATACAAACCAAATACAAATGCCCCTTACTATTCGAAAGTATTCGACGTTCAAGTATTCGAGTATCCGGTTGAAATAACCGGTTATTCGAATACATATTCGATTCGCTTCTAAGTTTCCGAACCACTCAAACCAGCCGCTATTACACATGAAATCTTGAATAAACAATACGAAGGACGCTACAAAACGGCCATCAGAGCCATGTTAACTGAGCAAGGGGCCAATGAGTAAGAGTAAAAGGGGGTTAATGATACTTCAGTATGCATTTTAGCCCCATCGTGAATCATGAGGTACTTGCTTGCGCAACCTTTTTTTATTCGAAACCGAATTCGACACACCATATATTCGAATCGTATTCGAATTCGTGGAGGGACAGGTATTTGAACAAATACAAATACAGGCAGGTATTCGACAATTATTCGTTTTAGATAACCGTATTCGAAACCGTATTCGTTTTTACACCCTTACCTACCGTTGCATGGCATCTACCATTGCATGGCACCTACCATTGCATGGCACCTACCATTGCATGGCACCTACCATTGCATGGCACCTACCATTGCATGGCACCTACCATTGTAATTTGCATTCTTGGTGAGGGGCACCTGATTATGGATGGTGTATAAATTGCCTTGCCCTGCATTCGCCCTTATGTCTTAGCCTCTTAGGCATGTCATGTCTCTGGTACGCATGTTATGTCTATGGTACGCGTGTCATGTCTATGGTACGCATGTCGGGTCTGGTACGCATGTCATGTATATGGTACGCATGTCGTGCCTCTGGTACGCATGTCATGTATATGGTACGCATGTCGTGCCTCTGGTACGCATGTCATGTCTATGGTACGCATGTCGTGCCGTAGAGTGTAGTGTATACTGGGTTTTCTCCGTCTATGTCTTGATATGGTATATGAAATCGCATCATGCGTGTCTTCCAATCTGTAAGATCAAGTGTCCGTTTCTGTATGAGACTCACTGTACCGTATCCATGCATACCTGAGCTTCCCTACTTCGTTGGCGTGTTCGTTGATCCACCATATGCATACTTGAAGCTCTATTAAAGCTCTATTGCTGGCACTCCCTTGTCGCAGGCAGGAGCATTGTTTAGTGTGGAGTTTTCAGCAGCAGTTCATCAGCAGCGGTGTGCAGCAGCAGTGTGCGGCAGCGGAGTGCAGCAAGGGATCGCCAAGAGGGATGGGCAAGGTTCAAATATACGGTCATTTATTTTGACGTAAAATACAGTATTTTAATAGTAGGCTTCTGTGAGAAGTCGTACAGCCGTGGCAAAAAATACGCCTGCTTTTTAACATTAGGGATGAGGATGATTGGTCTGCAGCAATGCACCTTTGCTAGTCCCCCAAACACCAGCAATCATTCATGCATGCGTGCAGCGCGCTCCTCAGTGTGTTAAATCTTTGTGTGTGTATGTGTGTGTGTGTGTGTGTGTGTGTGTGTGTGTGTGTGTGTGTGTGTGTGTGTGTGTGCGCGCGCACGCGTGTGCATGCGTGCGTGGGTGTGTGCGTGCGTGCGTGCGTGCGTGCGTGCGTGCGTGCGTGAGCGTGTGTGCGTGCGTGGGTGTGTGCGTATTTGTGTGTGTGTGTGTGTGTGTGTGTGTGTGTGTGTGTGTGTGTGTGTGTGTGTGTGTGTGCGTGTGTTGTGTGTGCGCGTGCGTGTGTGTGTGTGTGTGTGTGTGTGTGTGTGTGTGTGTGTGCGTGTGTGTTTTCTTCCTTCCCATGGCAGAGGGTGGTGGGCATGGTGGCGTACGGCTTTGACCTGCTTGACTTTGGGCGCAACTTCCAGCACCTGCACGACTCGCTGGGCGCGTGGCCGGTCATTCTCAAGTTCTACGCCACCTTCAATGTCACCTCCCAGCTGCAGTCGCCCCAGTTTCAAAGGCTCACTGTAAGCTCCGTGCGACAGTGTGTGCGTGTGTGTGAGTGAGTGTGGGAGAGAGAATGGTGAGACGAGTGAGTGAGTAGGCGCATGGCCCGTCATCCTCAAGTTCTACGCCATCTTCGATTCAATGTCGCCTCCCAGCTGCAGTCGCCCCAGTTCCAAAGGTGGAGCAGCGAGTGTGGGATGGAGAATGTGTGTAATGAACGGGTGAGTGAGTGAGTAGTCGTGTGGAACGTCATTCTCAAGCTCTAGTTCGAACGGCTCGTTGTAAGCTCAGGTTGACGGACAAAGTTTGGGGGCGCGAATCGTATGAGCTCTTGATGTCAAGTTATGCCATCTTTGATGTCAGGCTATGCCAGCTTTGATGTCACCTCGCAGCTGCAGTCGCCCCATTTTCCAAGGCTCGTTGCAAGCTCAGGGCGACGGAGTGTTAGAGAGAGAATGGATGGACTTGGACATGTGCTGGTCTGGTTGGCTCCACCAAGTTGGGTCTTTTCCTCATGCCAAGCTGGTACTTTTCATGTCATGCCCGTATTTCTACCTGGCTCTTGCTGCCAACCAATCCACCTACTTTTTCCTGCTCCATTCCGTTCATGCTATTTCTTGCTACATGAGGACACACACCTTCTCACATCGCCCCATGGATGGATGGCTGACTTCAGGAGGACATGAGTGCCGCACCATGCCCAAGCTGCCATCGTCGCACCATGCCCAAGCTGCCATCGTCGCACCATGCCCAAGCTGCCATCGTCGCACCATGCCCAAGCTGCCATCGTCGCACCATGCCCAAGCTGACTTTTGAGTCGACTCAAAAGTGACTTCACGAGAACATGGATGCTGCACCATGCCCAAGCTGCCATCGTCCTAATACTATACCACCACCAATATCATCACACCTTGTACGGACTGCCCTGTGATCCTCACCTCACCTCACACCGTGGCTGGCTGATTGCAGGAGGACACCGACCCATACTATTTCAGAGAGCGCCTCACCATGCCCAAGCTGCTCGTCAGTGCAGCCAACGACGAAGTGCTGGCACTGGATGACACGTGAGTGGGATTTAGGGTAGGGTTATGGTTGGTGACACGTGAGTGGTGAAGACAAGTGAGTGGGATGACACGTGAGTGGGGCTCAGGGTTCAGGGTTTCGGGTTATGGTTGTTGAAAGTGGAGTGAGTGATGGCACGGGAGTGGGGTGGTGGCACGGGAGTGGGGTGGTGGCACGGGAGTGGGGTGATGGCACGGGAGTGGGGTATGAGAATGACGACGATGTGTGACGTGACGGCACCAATCTTCCCTTTTCTCTCATCCTTCCCTCCCCCTCCACCCTGCCAGGTACATCTGGTGGAACGACATGCCCGAGCCGAAGCTGCTCTCTCCCCTATCCCCCCATTCTCCTTTGCCCCACTCTCCACCCTCCCCCCTCTCCCCCCTCCCCTCTCTCTACCCTGCCCTGCCCTGCCAGGTACATCTGGTGGAACGACATGCCCGAGCCGAAGCTGCTGAAGATAATGGCTAACTCGGAGCACATGGGGATCCACATCAACAAATGGGTGAGCACTGACCCTACAGAGGGTCGTCTCTCAACAGGAAAATTCTCCGAAGCGAAATACGGGTCCCACCGCAGAGGACCCAAGGGATCTCTGCAGCAGAGGGGAAATTTGCCGAAGCGAAGATTGGGTTCAGCTGCAGACAACCTGCCAGTTGTGCGCAACGTGCCAGTTGTGCCGCGCGCAACGTGCCAGTTGTGCGCAACGTGCCAGTTGTGCGCAACCTACCAGTTGTGCGCAACCTGCCAGTTGTGCGCCACATGCCAGTTGTGCGCAACGTGCCAGTTGTGCACAACCTGCCAGTTGTGCGCAGCCTGCCAGTTGTGCGCAACGTGCCAGTTGTGCGCAACGTGCCAGTTGTGTGCAACGTGCCAGTTGTGCGCAACGTGCCAGTTGTGCGCAACGTGCCAGTTGTGCGCAACGTGCACCACGTCCCGGCTCAGCTGCAGCATGGCGTCGTATAGAGAGGGTTTCTTTGAGACGTCTCAAAAATTCCCTCTCTACACATGTCCGCCACATCCTCGGTGAGCAGCTGCAGGACAAGGGAAGCACGCCTCTCACCACCATCCTCGGTGAGCAGCTGCAGGACAAGGGAAGCACGCCTCTCACCACCATCCTCGGTGAGCAGCTGCAGGACAAGGGAAGCACGCCTCTCACCACCATCCTCGGTGAGCAGCTGCAGGACAAGGGAAGCACGCCTCTCACCACCATCCTCGGTGAGCAGCTGCAGGACAAGGGAAGCACGCCTCTCACCACCATCCTCGGTGAGCAGCTGCACCATGGTGTCGTAAAGCCGGCCCATCATCCCTTTGGCGGTGGCGTCCGTTGCACGCATCACGGCGAAGGGGGCCTCCATCAGCACCTTGCGACTTTCCACCACTCGGCGTCCAAGATGTGCCCGTGAGGTGAAACACCTCCGCGCTCACCCTCCTCCCCCCCGTCGCCCAGCCCCGCCATTCCTCGCTTAGGACCATCTGGAGCAGGGACATGCGGAGCTTGCAAAGGCGGGACACCGCGATGAATTGTTGCGTCCCGAACTGTGTCCCCGCGGGCTTGAGAACATGTTTGCCCTTTCCGTCGTTGACGAGGGGGCTCCGCAAGTAGCCGCGCGTGAAGTGGTGGCTTCGAATGACGTTGATGATGTCGGCCGCCCGCTTGACAACCACTCTCGCCCGCTCTCAACCACTCCCGATGTCCTCCAGGAGGAGATCTATGACGTGCATTCGAGGTGTATCCGCGATTCATCGCGAAGCACGGGACGTATTCGAGGTGAGGGTACTCCACCATCGAGGTGAGGGTACTCCACCATCGAGGTGAGGGTACTCCACCATGAGCGCACGGCATGCGACGGCGTAGTTAGTGCCCCCATCCATGCACCACGTTCTCGCCCCCAACCTTCTTGATAATGGGCCTCAAGATCCCCGCGACGTATCCGCCATTCTTCTGCTCCATCTTGGTGTCCACAGCCTCGGTGAAGACGGCGCCGCTATCGTTGACGGGGAGAACGTTCGCCTGTCCGCGGCCCGAGCCGAGCCGTCGGTCATCATGTCGGAAGCAAGCGTGACTCCGTCACGATGCCAGCTCGCGGCGATCGGCGCGAGAGCGACTTCAATGCGTTGGCGGCACTGCTGGAGGCCAGCGCCCCCGATGTAGCGTTGTTTCGGCGCCACGTATGAAGCACCCGCGCGGGAGATGCAAGAAATCGTGTTGCGCCACAGTGGGTGGTCGGCGTTGCGCCACAGTGGGTGGTCGGCGTTGCGCCACAGTGGGTGGTCGGCGTTGCGCCACAGTGGGTGGTCGGCGTTGCGCCACAGTGGGTGGTCGGCGTTGCGCCACAGTGGGTGGTCGGCGTTGCGCCACAGTGGGTGGTCGGCGTTGCGCCACAGTGGGTGGTCGACGTTGCGCCACAATGGGTGGTCGGCGTTGCGCCACAGTGGGTGGTCGACGTTGCGCCACAATGGGTGGTCGGCGTTGCGCCACAGTGGGTGGTCGACGTTGCGCCACAATGGGTGGTCGGCGTTGCGCCACAGTGGGTGGTCGACGTGGTGCTCGGGAAGACGGAGGCCGGCGAAGAGAAGGCAGATGGCCTCGTCGACAGCCTTCTTAGCGCACGCCGCTTCCTCGCCGAAGAAGTCCGCAGCAATAGCGGAAAGCTCCGCAGTTCGCTTGTTGTCGCGGGCCGTGTGCCTCGCCTCGTACACCGCCTTGACGCCATCACGCGCGGGCCTTGGCGCATCCTGACACACGCACACTTCACGGCACCGCGTGCCGGTTTAGCCGGTGATGTGCTGGGCGCAACGGTACGTCCCGCCGTAAAATCTTTGCGCACAATCAGCACATGTCTTTGCGGCGGTGAGGGCGTTATCCACACCCTCGGGTACTTTGAAGTTCATGAAGACGGGATGGGCGCTGTCCATGCACAGAGGAGTCTTTCACCCTCGACGGAACTACCACCAACAGGCTCTGAAGTCGGGGTCGAGGTGGCACCTCACCTCTGGTGGGATTGGAAGCCATAATGGAACTAGAGCTAGAGAAACTGAGAAACAGAGGGAGGAATGATTGTCGAGTTGAGATACCTCCCTCTTTATGTCTGAACAGAAGTGGTTGGGTGAAGGAGATGAAAGCAACGCGATGTTGGAAGGGGTTGGAAGTGAGAGCGGCGGTGTGGTTTGTGCATGGGTAGAAAAGTTGAGTTGGCGCGACTCGGCTTTAAAATTCAAGTCGAGCACGAAATTCGATTTCGCGGTGCCGCGGATCCAAACTCTTTTTTTCTTTGTTTTTTTTTCCCGGCCTTCCCGAGCGTTTTCTTGCGTTTCTACACCAAAACCGCAGCGTAGCATACACGTTTTTGGTGAGTATATACTCAAAATGAGAACAAACTTTAGCGTATATTCTAACTTAGTGCGAGAAGTGTTGGTGTTGCCTTTCATAAACCACTTCAACCAAAGCGATGAGCAAGCTTTGCACTGAACTGTTTTTCCTTACATAAACTCCTCTTCGATGCCTCTTGGGGCCTCTATAACGAGTGTGCATTATTAATTACACAATGCCCAATGCCCTTACTTACAAAATGCCAAACCTTCAACATCTCTCGTCAACCCCCTCTCTCCATCCCTCTCTTTTCAACCCCCTCTCTCCATCCCTCTCTTTTCAACCCCCTCTCTCCATCCCTCTCTTTTCAACCCCCTCTCTCCATCCCTCTCTCTTCAACCCCCTCTCTCCATCCCCCTCTCTTCAACCACACCTCTCCAACTCCCTGTCTTCAACCCCTCTCTCCAACCCCCTCTCTCCCACCCCCTCTCTCCAACCCCCTCTCTCCCACCCCCTCTCTCCCACCCCCTCTCTCCCACCCCCTCTCTCCCACCCCCCCACTCCGCCCACAGGCCAACCAAGCCACCCTCTCCTTCCTCGCCTCTCTCCTGCACGTCAACTCCTCCTGCGCCGCTCTCCCCGCCTCCTCCCGCCCCTCCCTCACCTGGACTCGCCCATCCAACGCCCGGAACTACAACCGCCGACGCCGCAAGCACTTTGACAGAGTAGAGGGCACGGGCTTGTTTGCGCGGGAGGAAAGGAAAGTGGCAGAGGCTGTTTTTGAGTCGACTCAAAGACAGGCAGAGGGAGGAAGGAATGAACGGAAGGAGGCAGAGGCTCAGGCAGGAGGAGGGCGGATGGAGGGAATAGTCGGAGGCAAGCTGACCAATCAGGAGCAGCCGGCGCATCCCTGGGTCTGTGTTCCTGAGCTGCCAGCTGTCGACTGGCCTAAGCTGAGGTGGCGGTTTGATTGGTCCACGTTCACCATTCATGCCACGTCAGACAGGAAGCCACTGGCGGTTAGAGCATGGTGAGAGGGAGGGGAGGGGGATGTTTAAGGAGGTGGAGAAGGGGGGAGAGGGAGGGAGGGGAAGGGGAATGCGGAGAGGGAGGGTGAGGGAAAAGGGGAGGTGGGGGGAGAGGGAGGGAGGAGGGGAGGAGGTGGGAGGGGAGAGAAGGGATAGGGAGGATGGGTGTGTGTGTGGCTGCTGAAAGAGCAAGCTCTTGTTAAGCTTTCTGAGTATTTCCTGAGAGCGCATGTTTCTCAACTGCTTTGTCATTTTTGTTTTACGCTGAGGCTTCTCAGGCACCAGCTGCTTAGATTCTCACTATTCAACTCCTCTTGCTTCGCAAACTCAACACTCGCACACCTCCCCCCCCCCCCCTAACAACCCCTCTCCCTCCACCCGCAATTCCCTCTTCCCCCTGTCCCCCTTCCCCCACCGTGATTCTTATGGCCCACAGGACTGGCCGCACTGCCAGCGCACGGCGAGACTTCCGCTTCGTTGCACGGCGAGGCTCCGAGGGGTGGTGAGTGGTGCAAAGGGGTGGTGAGTGGTGGAAGGGGTGGTGAGTGGTGGAAGGGGTTGTGAGTGGTGCAAAGGGGTGCGTAGTGCCATGGCATAAGCCTGCAAAGGGCTGGGAAGAGGCAAAGCCAGAGACAGTGGTAACAAGTGCTGAGACAGACGACAGAGGTGCAGTCGGGTGAGTGACCAACGCGGACAAAACACGGGAGACGACAGGACGGGAGGCACGGAGGTAGTCGGACAACGGGTCGTGAAGCACAGTGAGGGACGACTCAGGGGGCTGTGGAAGGACAGGAGGAGGTGGAACACCGTGCAGGAAGAATGGGATGGCCTGCACACACAGCTCAAACTTGCCCTCATACGTGCCCGGTATTTTCGGTATCGGTGCCGTGCTGTAACAGAAGAAAGGAGGAGAAGGGGTGGGAGGATGGAAGAAATGAAACGAGAAGGGTCAGCAGATGCGGAGAAAAAAAGGCGTGGCCTGCATACACAGGTCAAGCTTGCCCGCACACGTCCCTGGAACTGTTGGCATGGTGCTTGGGCGGCGACACGGTGTGCAGGAAGAATGGGATGGCCTGCACACACAGCTCAAACTTGCCCTCATACGTGCCTGGAATCTTTGGTATTGGTGCCGTGCTGCCACAGCACGGGGAGGGAGCACAAGTGGTGGGAGGGTGGGAGAAATGAAACGAGATGGGTCAGCAGATGCGGAGAAAGGAGGGAGTGGGGGTGGGGGAAGGTGAGCAGGTGCAGCAGAGGACGAATGGCTCAGGCAGATTTTGCCCGCATACGTGCCTGGCTCCGTTGAAGGGAAGGGCATGGGAGGTGTCGAGAGGGTGGGGCGGGCGCAGGGAGAGAGGTTAACAGGTGCAAAGGAAGGAGGGGATGAGCTACCCAAGCACCACCCCGAGGATGGCTTGTGGCACTTCAGCTCCACCATCAGCTACGTTCCCAAGGTGACTATAATGGAAGTGCTTTTGTTTTTGCTTCGGGAATATGGCTTCACAATGTGACTGTAGCGAGGGGTCACAAGGTGGCTGACTGGGCGACTCCCCCGAAGTGACTATGTGACGGTTACACGGGTACCGCGCAACGTTTACTGGCATGTTGATGCTCTTGTGGCCATTCTTTGTGCGAAGGAGAGTGTTTAGGAGTAAAAACTGCTCCTAAAACATACAAGTTAATACACTTCTCGTGTCATTTGCAGGTGGGGTTTCGAGCATTGTGGATTGAAGTTGATTTTGCAATTCCACAAAGAAGCGCACCTTTTGTGCTGACTACTGAAGCCCTTCTAGCCCCAAACAAGCTGCCGTTTTCATCTTGTCAATCAGGCAACTTTTCTTGCCAACAACGTTGGATATGATAAGGATGTGCCACACCAGTGAACTTGCAACTCACGCTCAGCATGTTGAATAATACGGTTCATAGATATAGTAGAGATACATATATATACATATATACATACACACACACATATTTGTTTACACACATGCATATATGATATTTCTTGCACCTTGCTCTCTGTCTGCTGCTGGTGTGATATTTGGTGGAGTTTCTGACTTTCTTTGAAATATTCGTGAGATTCGTAGTGGTTAAAACCATTTGGGTCTGGTATAATCTGCTAGTGCATTGCTCGTAGAGCATTGTGGGGGGAATTTAAGAATTGACTTTTTGATTTAAAGTTAAGATAGCTGGTGTTCTGGGTAGGAGGACCCGTCGCGCACCCCCTGCTTCTTCGTAATCCCGCAATCGAAGAAGCTTTTGAAAGGGTCCGTTTCTATAACCAGAAACCATCTCCAGCTCTTGTTGTCGCACTGAAACGTCATGTCGCTGTTGCATCCGAGCAATGGAGTCAGCCGGAGATCGACAATGACCAATGCATCGCGGCTCTTTGCAAAAACGGCGTACTGAGGTTCTTATTGTGAGCCAGCTGACTGAAGCAGTTCTACAGAAGCGTTCACGATCCGTTAGCGAAGCTCATTGTGTCGCGTACGCACGCGTCGGGCCCTGGCGTCGTCGCCAGGCGCCTCCAAGCGGCTCTCACTCGTCGCATTCTGCCTGTCGCCGTCGCGCTGACCGTCGCATACTTGGCGATCTTCGAGCTGCGACCCAGCCTGCTCTCCTCGGACACCGCACAGTCCTCTGAATCGCCCCCTTTCCCGCAAAGCGGCTGCGAGACGGCGAGGAATTGTCACGGTACACTGCTGGACAGATATGTTTATACCGCGGATGCGGAATTCGGGTGAGTTTTCAACGGTTGCATACAGCAAAAACCATCATTCTTTGCAGAAGCGAAAGACGGCCTTAAACTAGCCATGCACTTCCCCCTGTGCCATGCGTGAGTTGAAGTCACAACCCATTGTTCTCCAGAGGGGCCGGCTCTGCTCAGTGACCCCTTGCAGACTGAAGTCTCTTGCGTTCATCGTGCACGCTCGTTATAAGCACAAGCTGACGGCCTGAACGTTTGAATCACCTCGTGGTAGGGCCGTGCACCACTCCTGCATGTTTCTCGCTCAGTCACGGGCTTTCATTTACCCGAGTGGGAGGACACGTGGGTAACCAGGTAACCGCATGCAGGCGAAGGGGCCTGGAGGGTGGAGCAGAGGATGGGGTGTGTGAGTGACCACTGATCCCAAACCTGCCTTGAGCCTTCTATCTCCGTTTTCTAGCTCTGCATTATCTGCGTTATGTGTCATAGAGATATGTGTCCTTATGGCTAGAGATATGTGTCCTTATGGCTAGAGATATGTGTCCTTATGGCTAGAGATATGTATCCTTATGGCTAGAGATATGTGTCCTTATGGTTAGAGATATGTGTCCTTATGGCTAGAGATATGTGTCCTTATGGCTAGAGATATGTGTCCTTATGGTTAGAGATATGTGTCCTTATGGCTAGAGATATGTGTCCTGATGGCTAGAGATATGTGTCCTTATGCTTAGAGATATGTGTCCTTATGGCTAGAGATATGTGTCCTTATGGCTAGAGATATGTGTCCTTATGTAGTGCCCTCCTCCACCTCCCGTCAGCTACCAATGCCTCAAAGCCACTGTCACTCTCTCTTACCAACCCATCCGACCTATGGTGTTCGTTGCTCTCTCTGCCCTGCCCTGCTGGCCTGGCAGGTGGAAGGATACGGGCAATCGCATGAGAGCCAAGGAGCCTGGAGGGTGGTGGACGGGGTATGTGCTGCTGGTGAGAACCCAACGCTGGCTCAACCAATCCGTTACTAACCGATTCTACTGGTGGCATCACGTGACGCTTATTGTGAGTTCTGGCAGTTGACTTTCAGACTCCGATATGGTCGGAACAAGCAGTGCAGGCGGTGCATGAGCTTCAAGTGCAGGCGGTGCATGAGCTTGAAGTGCAGGCGGTGCATGAGCTTCAAGTGCAGGCGGTGCATGAGCTTCAAGTACGTTTGGAAAACAACACTGCTGTCAAGCATCGGTGCTTGTGGTCACATAGATTTTATCACTGCAATGTGGTGTGCCATGGGGTGCGGTGCCATGGGGTACGGTGCCATGGGGTTCTGTGCCATGGGGTACGGTGCCATGGGGTACTGTGCCATGGGGTACTGTGCCATGGGGTACGGTGCCATGGGGTACTGTGCCATGGGGTACGGTGCCATGGGGTACTGTGCCATGGGATGGGGAGCCAAATGGGTGCATATGCGGAGCAGTGGCAAGGCCTGAAGCCTCACCTTCAATGCATTGACCTTCAGTGGCTGCAGGCTGTCCGTTGTCTCGACCTCCCATGCTCCAGATGGCACGCCTAATGCCAGCAGTGTTCCGCAGGCCCTTCCTCACTTTGGTGCGCGTGCCATCTGGTGTGGTTCAGGGGTGAGATGAGGCGTCCAGGCCTGAAGCCTCCTCTTCAATGCATGCCTTGTGGCTGTGCATCCGCCTCCCGCCCGCCCAGGTGCCAGACAACTTGTCAAGCGCCAGCAAGGGGCTCGTGTTGTTGTTTGTTGGGGCGGGGTGGAACGACCACGGCCGGGACGACCGGCGCTACACCATCCCCGATACCACCGACGTCTACATCCACGTCGCTGCCCCGTGAGTGCCACGCACGGGCGTGAGTGGCAGGGACAGGCGTGAGTGGCAGGGACGGGCGTGAGTGGCAGGGACGGGTGTGAGTGGCAGGGACGGGCGTGAGTGGCAGGGACGGGCGTGAGTGGCAGGGACGGGCGTGAGTGGCAGGGACGTGAGTGGGTGGGACGTGAGTGGGAGGGGCATGACTGGGAGGGGTGTGAGCGGGAGGGGTGTGAGCGGGAGGGGTGTGAGCCTTGTGCCTGTTGCATCTTCCCTTGCAGAATTCTCAAACGCAGGCCTTGCCCATCAATCACCTGGTGCCCGTGCATGCATCCTCCCTTGTTCACATGACATGCAGGCTGGTGGTGGATCTGGGCATGATGGGAGTGATGGTGCACCAGCAGCCCATGATGCCCATCACCTTCCACGTCGCCCCACCTGGCGTCACCCGCAGCATGAGCCAAGAGCTTCAGGAGGAGGAGATCACAGCCTGTAAGCGAGTCGGCCTATAGCGCGGCCATATTCCCCCTGGCGTCAGCAGCAGAGCTGAAGCAAGAGCTGATAGAGGAGCAGACCCCAGCCTGGCGTCAGCCTTTTGCATGTGTGCCTTCTCGCTGGCATGAGCTGCAGCAGAGCAAGCAAAGAGTTGCACGAGTAGGAGACAGCAGCTTGTAAGTGAGTAATGCTCTAGTGTGTCCGTATCCCCCCCCCCCGGGGTGTCAGCTGCACTGCAACAGCAGCAAAAGCCAGAATGTGCAAGAGGAAGAGATGACAGCCTGTAGGGGAGTCCCGCCCCCCGAGAGTGTGCCGTACTCCTGCTGGGGTCAGCAGCAGCAGCAGCGATGACTCGATATCTGGTAGAGCAGCAGATGAGTGCATGTGATGTGAGGATATGAGTGCATGTGAGGATATGAGTGCATGTGAGGATATGAGTGCATGTGAGGATATGAGTGCATGTGAGGATATGAACACTGACCCAGAATCTCACCTTCCTACTTTTGCCCAATTCCCCTTCCGCACACCTCGTCCACCAGTCACCATGGGCATGGCACTGTACGACCCCAGCACGCCCGAGTGGCCCATCTTCATGCCCATGGCCAAGTCCTTGGTGCGCGCCATGGATGCCGTGCAGCTTGCTGCCAGACAGATGCTTCCACATGTGCCCGTGAGTGCCGCTGCTTGCACGGGTACTGGGTAGGTACTGCCAGGTCCCCTCACGCCTCTCCACTTCCCGAGTGGCCCATCCACATGCCCATCTAGATGCCCCTTCATGCCCATGGCCAAGTCCATCATCTGCACCCTGGACGCCATGCCCATCGCTGCTAGAGAGCTGCTGCTGCATGTGCCCGTGAGATGAGAGCTGCTGCTGCATGTGCCCGTGAGATTGTAGGTCATTTCCTGCTGTAGCTTTTCCCTGCCATCCCAGCCCCGCAAAGGATTGCCTTGCGCTGAAACCTCGGGATCGGTATTTTTCGGGTGCTTGCTTTCATTTCTTGCCTTTGTGGTCTGAAGATGGCCGAAACTAGTTACCACCAATTGCTACGCAAAAGGTTGTTTCTAAGGAATCCTACTACAAACAGATCTCTTAAATAAACTAAGCTGCCGCCATGCAAAGTCATGTCTCCCAAGTGGGGATTTATAGTTGATTTGATATTACTGCAATGGCCGGCTACAAAACTAATATTTCTGCATGATTCATGGATGATGGGTGGTGGATGAGTCATGGATGATGGATGCTGGCAGCTGGATGCATGCATTGAGGTATGAGAGTTATGGATGGGTGATGGTTGGGATGGGTGATGGATGGGATGGGTGATGGATGGGATGGGTGATGGATGGGATGGGTGATGGATGGGATGGGTGAAGGATGGGATGGGTGATGGATGGGATGGGTGATGGTTGGGATGGGTGATGGATGGGATGGGTGATGGATGGGATGGGTGAAGGATGGGATGGGTGATGGATGGGATGGGTGATGGTTGGGATGGGTGATGGATGGGATGGGTGATGGATGGGATGGGTGAAGGATGGGATGGGTGATGGATGGGATGGGTGATGGATGGGATGGGTGATGGATGGGATGGGTGAAGGATGGGATGGGTGATGGATGGGATGGGTGATGGATGGGATGGGTGAAGGATGGGATGGGTGAAGGATGGGATGGGTGATGGATGGGATGGGTGATGGATGGGATGGGTGATGGATGGGATGGGTGAAGGATGGGATGGGTGAAGGATGGGATGGGTGATGGATGGGATGGGTGAAGGATGGGATGGGTGAAGGATGGGATGGGTGATGGATGGGATGGGTGATGGATGGGATGGGTGATGGATGGGATGGGTGAAGGATGGATTTACACGTGGCGCATCTCTCGCTCCTCCACCTCACTCCATGCCACTCTCTCTTGCCATCCCCTATGCATATCCCTTGCGTGCCCCATTCTCCATTCTCCCTCCCTCCGCCAGGTGGAGGCCTTCGTGAGTGTCGGGGCGAGCAAGCGCGCGCACTTGGCTTGGCTCTCTGCAGCTCTTGATAAGGCACGTCCTCCTCCTTTCTTTCTTACTATTTGTTTGTTTTTTTCAGCTGAAACTGAATATGCCTTAGTGTATTGGCTTTCACATTGCATCTCCTCCCTCTCTCTGCCCCTCCCTCTCTCTGTCCCTCCCTCTCTCTGTCCCTCTCTCTTGTGCTGTAGTGGCCGTCATCTTGTGCTGTAGTGGCCGTCATCTTGTGCTGTAGTGGCCGTCATCTTGTGCTGTAGTGGCCGTCATCTTGTGCTGTAGTGGCCGTCATCTTGTGCTGTAGCGGCCGTCATCCTGTGCTGTAGTGGCCGTCATCTTGTGCTGTAGTGGCCGTCATCTTGTGCTGTAGTGGCCGTCATCTTGTGCTGTAGCGGCCGTCATCTTGTGCTGTAGTGGCCGTCATCTTGTGCTGTAGTGGCCGTCATCTTGTGCTGTAGTGGCCGTCATCTTGTGCTGTAGTGGCCGTCATCTTGTGCTGTAGCGGCCGTCATCTTGTGCTGTAGTGGCCGTCATCTTGTGATGTAGTGGCCGTCATCTTGTGTTGTAGTGGCCGTCATCTTGTGCTGTAGTGGCCGTCATCTTGCACAGCTACCATCACGTCAACTTTGACCCCACCATGCACCATGCACCACCTCACACCTGTTGCCAGCACTCACCCCGACCCTACCACCTCCATCCCTCCTCCCACGCTGCCTCTTTCGCTCTCCCTGTCTCTCGCTACAGCGAGTGGTGGCCTTCATAGCGTACGGCTACGATCTCATCAACCTCCAGCCCAACCTGCAGCATCTGCTCGACTCGGTGGGCGCCGTGCCCATCCTGGGCCGCTTCTATGTGGACTACAACCTCACGCACTTCCTGCACTCGCCCCTGCTGCCCCCCCTTCTGGTACGCCTGAGGTTTGGGGTTTTGGCTTAGGGTTTGTTTGGGTTGGGTCCGGGTCTAGAGTGGGCGGGAAGAGGAGAGTAATGGCGGGAGGGAGGGGGGGAGGAAGAGGGAGGGAGGACGAGGGAGGGAGGACAAGGGAGGGAGGAAGAGGGAGGGTGGAAGAGGGAGGGAGGAAGAGGGAGGGAGGAAGAGGGAGGGAGAAAGAGGGAGGGAGGAAGAGGGAGGGAGGAAGAGAGAGAGGTTTGAGCTTCACTTTGAAAGTGCTTGTGGGGCTTGAAGTGGCGCCATGACAGGGCAGCAGTGTGATATCATGACTTTGCGCGATGCATAGACTGAGTGATGTCATGACTGTGTGCGACGCATAGACTGCGTTGAATGCGAACATGACTTAAAGCCACGAAGGGGCAGCTCTGCTGTCTGCTGGTGGCAGGCAGGAGGACACAGTAGATAGAGCGCGGGGAGCATGCGTATGAGAATTCTCAAAGCCCTTTGCCTTCACTCCGCACCTGCCTGACAGACAACACCTGGCTCTCGCTGGCAAGCTGTTGCAAGCCACTCATGTCGCAGGGCACTCATGTCGCAGGCAGGGCACTCATGCCGCAGGGCACTCATGCCGCAGGGCACTCATGTCGCAGGCAGGGCACTCATGCCGCAGGGCACTCATGCCGCAGGGCACTCATGCCGCAGGGCACTCATGCCGCAGGCAGGGCACTTGCAGCTACCTTGGCTGACTGCTCTTCTTCCAAAAATGCCCCCCTCCTTTTCCTCCTCTCCCAACCCCCTCAACAGAGCTACATGGATACGTACTTCTTCAGGAGGCGCCCCACCATGCCTAAGATGCTCATTTCTAAGCGCCCCACCATGCCTAAGATGCTCATTTCTAAGCGCCGCGCCTGAATGAGATTTTTATTCCAACCTCCCCCAACCCCTCCAACCACCCCCCTCCAACTTTAACCCCCCCTACCCCACAGAGCTACACGGACCCATACTTCTTCAGGGAGCGCCTGACCATGCCCAAGCTGCTCATCTCCGCCTCCAATGACGAGTTCTTCTTCATGGATGACTCGTGAGTCGCTGCTTGCTGCCCCATGGATGACTCGTGAGTCGCTGCTTGCTGCCCCATGGATGACTCGTGAGTCGCTGCTTGCTGCCCCATGGATGACTCGTGAGTCGCTGCTTGCTGCCCCATGGATGACTCGTGAGTCGCTGCTTGCTGCCCCATGGATGACTCGTGAGTCGCTGCTTGCTGCCCCATGGATGACTCGTGAGTCGCTGCTTGCTGCCGCATGGATGACTCGTGAGTCGCTGCTTGCTGCCCCATGGATGACTCGTGAGTCGCTGCTTGCTGCCCCATGGATGACTCGTGAGTCGCTGCTTGCTGCCCCATGGATGACTCGTGAGTCGCTGCTTGCTGCCCCATGGATGCCTCGTGAGTCGCTGCTTGCTGCCCCATGGATGACTCGTGAGTCGCTGCTTGCTGCCCCATGGATGACTCGTGAGTCGCTGCTTGCTGCCCCATGGATGACTCGTGAGTCGCTGCTTGCTGCCCCATGGATGCCTCGTGAGTCGCTGCTTGCTGCCCCATGGATGACTCGTGAGTCGCTGCTTGCTGCCCCATGGATGACTCGTGAGTCGCTGCTTGCTGCCCCATGGATGACTCGTGAGTCGCTGCTTGCTGCCCCATGGATGCCTCGTGACTCGCTGCTTGCTGCCCCATGGATGACTCGTGAGTCGCTGCTTGCTGCCCCATGGATGACTCGTGAGTCGCTGCTTGCTGCCCCATGGATGACTCGTGAGTCGCTGCTTGCTGCCCCATGGATGCCTCGTGAGTCGCTGCTTGCTGCCCCATGGATGACTCGTGAGTCGCTGCTTGCTGCCCCATGGATGCCTCGTGAGTCGCTGCTTGCTGCCCCATGGATGACTCGTGAGTCGCTGCTTGCTGCCCCATGGATGACTCGTGAGTCGCTGCTTGCTGCCCCATGGATGACTCGTGAGTCGCTGCTTGCTGCCCCATGGATGACTCGTGAGTCGCTGCTTGCTGCCCCATGGATGACTCGTGAGTCGCTGCTTGCTGCCCCATGGATGACTCGTGAGTCGCTGCTTGCTGCCCCATGGATGCCTCGTGAGTCGCTGCTTGCTGCCCCATGGATGACTCGTGAGTCGCTGCTTGCTGCCCCATGGATGACTCGTGAGTCGCTGCTTGCTGCCCCATGGATGACTCGTGAGTCGCTGCTTGCTGCCCCATGGATGCCTCGTGAGTCGCTGCTTGCTGCCCCATGGATGACTCGTGAGTCGCTGCTTGCTGCCCCATGGATGACTCGTGAGTCGCTGCTTGCTGCCCCATGGATGCCTCGTGAGTCGCTGCTTGCTGCCCCATGGATGACTCGTGAGTCGCTGCTTGCTGCCCCATGGATGACTCGTGAGTCGCTGCTTGCTGCCCCATGGATGACTCGTGAGTCGCTGCTTGCTGCCCCATGGATGCCTCGTGAGTCGCTGCTTGCTGCCCCATGGATGACTCGTGAGTCGCTGCTTGCTGCCCCATGGATGCCTCGTGAGTCGCTGCTTGCTGCCCCATGGATGACTCGTGAGTCGCTGCTTGCTGCCCCATGGATGACTCGTGAGTCGCTGCTTGCTGCCCCATGGATGACTCGTGAGTCGCTGCTTGCTGCCCCATGGATGACTCGTGAGTCGCTGCTTGCTGCCCCATGGATGACTCGTGAGTCGCTGCTTGCTGCCCCATGGATGACTCGTGAGTCGCCGCTTGCTGCCCCATGGATGACTCGTGAGTCGCTGCTTGCTGCCCCATGGATGACTCGTGAGTCGCTGCTTGCTGCCCCATGGATGCCTCGTGAGTCGCTGCTTGCTGCCCCATGGATGACTCGTGAGTCGCTGCTTGCTGCCCCATGGATGACTCGTGAGTCGCTGCTTGCTGCCCCATGGATGACTCGTGAGTCGCTGCTTGCTGCCCCATGGATGACTCGTGAGTCGCTGCTTGCTGCCCCATGGATGACTCGTGAGTCGCTGCTTGCTGCCCCATGGATGCCTCGTGAGTCGCTGCTTGCTGCCCCATGGATGACTCGTGAGTCGCTGCTTGCTGCCCCATGGATGACTCGTGAGTCGCTGCTTGCTGCCCCATGGATGACTCGTGAGTCGCTGCTTGCTGCCGCATGGATGACTCGTGAGTCGCTGCTTGCTGCCCCATGGATGACTCGTGAGTCGCTGCTTGCTGCCCCATGGATGACTCGTGAGTCGCTGCTTGCTGCCCCATGGATGACTCGTGAGTCGCTGCTTGCTGCCCCATGGATGCCTCGTGAGTCGCTGCTTGCTGCCCCATGGATGACTCGTGAGTCGCTGCTTGCTGCCCCATGGATGACTCGTGAGTCGCTGCTTGCTGCCCCATGGATGACTCGTGAGTCGCTGCTTGCTGCCCCATGGATGCCTCGTGAGTCGCTGCTTGCTGCCCCATGGATGACTCGTGAGTCGCTGCTTGCTGCCCCATGGATGACTCGTGAGTCGCTGCTTGCTGCCCCATGGATGACTCGTGAGTCGCTGCTTGCTGCCCCATGGATGCCTCGTGAGTCGCTGCTTGCTGCCCCATGGATGACTCGTGAGTCGCTGCTTGCTGCCCCATGGATGACTCGTGAGTCGCTGCTTGCTGCCCCATGGATGACTCGTGAGTCGCTGCTTGCTGCCCCATGGATGCCTCGTGAGTCGCTGCTTGCTGCCCCATGGATGACTCGTGAGTCGCTGCTTGCTGCCCCATGGATGCCTCGTGAGTCGCTGCTTGCTGCCCCATGGATGACTCGTGAGTCGCTGCTTGCTGCCCCATGGATGACTCGTGAGTCGCTGCTTGCTGCCCCATGGATGACTCGTGAGTCGCTGCTTGCTGCCCCATGGATGACTCGTGAGTCGCTGCTTGCTGCCCCATGGATGACTCGTGAGTCGCTGCTTGCTGCCCCATGGATGACTCGTGAGTCGCTGCTTGCTGCCCCATGGATGCCTCGTGAGTCGCTGCTTGCTGCCCCATGGATGACTCGTGAGTCGCTGCTTGCTGCCCCATGGATGACTCGTGAGTCGCTGCTTGCTGCCCCATGGATGACTCGTGAGTCGCTGCTTGCTGCCCCATGGATGCCTCGTGAGTCGCTGCTTGCTGCCCCATGGATGACTCGTGAGTCGCTGCTTGCTGCCCCATGGATGACTCGTGAGTCGCTGCTTGCTGCCCCATGGATGACTCGTGAGTCGCTGCTTGCTGCCCCATGGATGCCTCGTGAGTCGCTGCTTGCTGCCCCATGGATGACTCGTGAGTCGCTGCTTGCTGCCCCATGGATGACTCGTGAGTCGCTGCTTGCTGCCCCATGGATGACTCGTGAGTCGCTGCTTGCTGCCCCATGGATGCCTCGTGAGTCGCTGCTTGCTGCCCCATGGATGACTCGTGAGTCGCTGCTTGCTGCCCCATGGATGCCTCGTGAGTCGCTGCTTGCTGCCCCATGGATGACTCGTGAGTCGCTGCTTGCTGCCCCATGGATGACTCGTGAGTCGCTGCTTGCTGCCCCATGGATGACTCGTGAGTCGCTGCTTGCTGCCCCATGGATGACTCGTGAGTCGCTGCTTGCTGCCCCATGGATGACTCGTGAGTCGCTGCTTGCTGCCCCATGGATGACTCGTGAGTCGCTGCTTGCTGCCCCATGGATGCCTCGTGAGTCGCTGCTTGCTGCCCCATGGATGACTCGTGAGTCGCTGCTTGCTGCCCCATGAATGACTCGTGAGTCGCTGCTTGCTGCCCCATGGATGACTCGTGAGTCGCTGCTTGCTGCCCCATGGATGACTCGTGAGTCGCTGCTTGCTGCCCCATGGATGACTCGTGAGTCGCTGCTTGCTGCCCCATGGATGACTCGTGAGTCGCTGCTTGCTGCCCCATGGATGCCTCGTGAGTCGCTGCTTGCTGCCCCATGGATGACTCGTGAGTCGCTGCTTGCTGCCCCATGGATGACTCGTGAGTCGCTGCTTGCTGCCCCATGGATGACTCGTGAGTCGCTGCTTGCTGCCCCATGGATGCCTCGTGAGTCGCTGCTTGCTGCCCCATGGATGACTCGTGAGTCGCTGCTTGCTGCCCCATGGATGACTCGTGAGTCGCTGCTTGCTGCCCCATGGATGACTCGTGAGTCGCTGCTTGCTGCCCCATGGATGCCTCGTGAGTCGCTGCTTGCTGCCCCATGGATGACTCGTGAGTCGCTGCTTGCTGCCCCATGGATGCCTCGTGAGTCGCTGCTTGCTGCCCCATGGATGACTCGTGAGTCGCTGCTTGCTGCCCCATGGATGACTCGTGAGTCGCTGCTTGCTGCCCCATGGATGACTCGTGAGTCGCTGCTTGCTGCCCCATGGATGACTCGTGAGTCGCTGCTTGCTGCCCCATGGATGACTCGTGAGTCGCTGCTTGCTGCCCCATGGATGACTCGTGAGTCGCTGCTTGCTGCCCCATGGATGCCTCGTGAGTCGCTGCTTGCTGCCCCATGGATGACTCGTGAGTCGCTGCTTGCTGCCCCATGGATGACTCGTGAGTCGCTGCTTGCTGCCCCATGGATGACTCGTGAGTCGCTGCTTGCTGCCCCATGGATGCCTCGTGAGTCGCTGCTTGCTGCCCCATGGATGACTCGTGAGTCGCTGCTTGCTGCCCCATGGATGACTCGTGAGTCGCTGCTTGCTGCCCCATGGATGACTCGTGAGTCGCTGCTTGCTGCCCCATGGATGCCTCGTGAGTCGCTGCTTGCTGCCCCATGGATGACTCGTGAGTCGCTGCTTGCTGCCCCATGGATGACTCGTGAGTCGCTGCTTGCTGCCCCATGGATGCCTCGTGAGTCGCTGCTTGCTGCCCCATGGATGACTCGTGAGTCGCTGCTTGCTGCCCCATGGATGACTCATGAGTCGCTGCTTGCTGCCCCATGGATGACTCGTGAGTCGCTGCTTGCTGCCCCATGGATGCCTCGTGAGTCGCTGCTTGCTGCCCCATGGATGACTCGTGAGTCGCTGCTTGCTGCCCCATGGATGCCTCGTGAGTCGCTGCTTGCT